GCACTGGGGGTGGCTTTGCTGCTGGCCCTTGTGATCATGACCGTGGCCCTCGTGTGTTTGCGGAAGAGGTGCTGCTCCCGTTGTCCCCATGTCTCCAATCTTCACCCCCTCTCACCACTGAAGACATCAGGGAGCTGGGGGGGGGTGTCTTTAGAAAGAATTTGGATTTAGGCATCAGGTTTGTGTGTTGTCAATGCCCAGTTACCCACTGTGAGATCTTGGGTGAGTCACCTTGCCCCAATCCTGTTTCCTCATCTGCAGAATGGGCATGACACTAGAGTCCTCAACGCCCTTAGGAGAACATCACTTAGGAATGCATCTCGTGCCCAGCAAGACATTGGCATATGCAATATATATAACAAATACTGCTGCTTTTTCCAACATGTGAAGAGATAGTAGCTGTATCTGGGTTTGGTTTTCAGCCTTCCTACTGGCTGTACAGCCCTCCCCAAATCAATTGCCTTTTCTGGCTCTTCTACCCTCTGTAAAAGAGAGCTAACACTCTCACCTGCTAGGATCATGGTGAAGCTACACTCTTAGGGCCTCCACTGGGTGGAGTGGTATGCAGTGGGTATGCAGTGAAAGTGTGAGTGCCTCCTTTTGTGCCCCACAGCTACCACCGGAAAATTTGGGCTATGAAGGCTGCCAAAGAGGCCCGAAAGACAGCAGCGGGGGTGATGCCCTCAGTCTCTGCCATCCCAGGGACTAACATGTACAACAGTGAGCGGTGAGCAAGGGTCAAGGGGTGGATAAGAGACATTGTAGGGTGGCTGAGGGCCATGGTTGCTTGACCAGGCTTTCTCTCCAGGGCCAACCCCATGCTGAATCTCCCCACTGATGACTTGGGCTTGGAGTACCTCTGCTCTGGTGACTCGGATTACCTCAGGTTAGCAGTGCCTCTCACAGCCATGCTAGCAGGTGGCTCTTATTGAGGTGGTAGTGGTGGTAGTGATGGTGAATATGGTGGTGATGGTGGTGGCTGAGGTGGTGGTGGTGACAGTGATAGTAATGGTGTTAGTGGTGGTGACGGTGGCTGGTGATGATGATGGTGGTGGTGGTGGTGATGGTGATGGTGATGGTAGTGGTGGTTGAGATGGCAGTGGAGGTGATGGTGACAGTAGTGATAGTGATGGTGATGGTGGAGACAATGGTAGTTCTTGGCCAAAGACAGAGAAGACTGGGCCTGCCAGCAACCTGAACTCCATCACCTCTCCCACAGCCTCAACTCCTTGGATGAAAATTCTGTGGATCTGGATAAGAGCCATCAGGAAATCAAGGCAAGATGGGGGATGACTTAGTACTTGGGACTTCTGACTTGGGATCCTTCTCTGAAGGGGCTGGGGAACAGAGAGGGAGGGATCTGCAACTGACATAAGCAGCCTTCCTTCTCTGCATCAAGCCCCAGGAAGCTCTGTGGCTTTGGAATGGGGTCCAATTCTTGATCCTCCATTGGTTCACTGTGTGATCCTGAGTAGGTGACATCTTACTTCTAGTTCTTAGCTTTCTCATGGGTGTTAGAACATCAACCATGCTGGGCTCTTGTGAGGATTAAATAAGAACAGGCATTAAAAACCTGGCACAAACAAGAACTTGACAATCTGGTTCCACCCTTTAGGGCCTTTATATAAAAGCTGGTAGGGGTGGGGAAGAGATCCGGAGATGAACGAACAGTCTAGCAAAGGAGAGAAGGTAGGGGCAAACAAACAACAGCACTGTCATTCATTGAATAGATTAGTTGGTGAGATTAGACCAAAAGTTCATGCCTGTCTGCTATTTAGAGGCACCTAGGACAGGTCACACCCAGAGATTCTGGTTCCTATGGCCTTGGGGAGCCTGGGCATGGATATGCTGTAAAAGCTGCCCAGAGGACTCCAATGTGCAGGTGGGTTGACAACCACTGGAGCAGGTCAGTGGACTCCCTCTCTCCTTCCCACTTGGAAAACCACCACTAGAGCAGTTCTCTAAGGCACATTTAAGCTATAATAGATTAAGGGTTTTTTTGTTTGTTTTCTGTGTTTGTGTGTGTGTGTGTGTCTGGGGGGGGCAGTATCTGCCCACCATCCATCCATATTCACTCCCACTCTATGTCCTGGGCTTGACCTAGTCCCTGTCCGTTGGCCAGGGGCTCTACCCTGACCTCATGTTACCGTATTTATTTTCCTTAAGGGACTTTTTATTACCGTATTTATTTTCCTAAGGGACTTTCCTTATTTCCCTTACTGGGAAAGATTTGGTCAACCAAAGCCTCTCTTGGGCTTTAAAATACCAGAATGTTGCACAGTGGCCCAGTGTTACATGGCACAGGGAAAATGGAGTAAAGTATTTCAGATAGGCTCCCAGGATGGGGTTATATGTAGTAATTAAGACAGTACTGACCTCTGAGTAGACAGCTCTTTTCCGCTGGAAGATAGTTTGGAGCAAAATATCTAATGAACATTATCTGGGGAAACTGAAGCAAAAGGGAATAGTCTTGCCCGCTGGAGCTGTGGCCCTTTTGTAGAAGATATTTCTGTTTCCCCAGATGAGTAGAGTTAGAGCCCCCTGTGGGCTGGGAATGGGCAGGGAGCCCTGACAGAAGGGTTTAGAGAGGGAAGAAGGGTGGGCAGACCACAGAGAGTCTTCAAAGCCAGAAAAGAGCTAAGACCTTGTCCTGGAGGGGTTGCTTTATTTCCAAAAAGCTGCCTAATGCTCCACCCCCTCTCCTGCAGCAGTGAGTGGGCCCAGAGCCCACTGGACAGGACTAGGAGGCCATGGGGCCTTCTTGGGAGCTGCCTGCCCCTCCTCTCCCTTAGCTGATTGGGGGTCGTGGGTGTGACCTTTTTCCCAGGAATCCCTTGGTGTTGTGACTTGTCCAAGAGCTTCATAAACATTTGTGTGGAAGGTAGGAGTGATCAGAGGGCTCAACCATGCCAACCTTTCCAAATAACTAACAGGGGTGCTGACTTCAAGGTCAGACAGCCTGCAGGGCAAAAGCAGACCAGAATCCCGGTCTCCAGTCTCTGGGGCTGAGTCACATTACCTTGGGCAGCCCCCAACTTGGCCTCTGTCACAAGGGCTCTGTAGAGCACCGAGAGAATGTTCAGTCCCTCTGAAGCCCCTCAGATGTTCCACTGTTACCAGGGACTGAAACAGCCATAGTCTGGAAAAAGCCCTTGGAGTGTCCCAGAGAGGGCGGTGGGGGCGGGGGGTTGGGTGGTGATGGCCCTGCATTTGTCTCTGCAGCAGAGTAGCTGAGCCTGGGGAATCAGGAGGGTGTATGTGTGAGCAGGTGTGTGTGAGTGCAGCATGTGACATGGGGAGGAGGAAAAGGCAGGGCAGGTGAGACAGTGAGATTATGCCATGATGAACTGCAGGTGGGACCTGCCTGCAATAGAGGTAGAAAGAGACCACAAATTCAGCCAAGGGCAGCATAACACCACAGACATACTATAGAGCCAGCAATACCAGTGGTCTGCCCCTTCCTGGCCAGGAGAGCTCTCCAAGTCTGTTTCCACATCTATAGAACAGGGGACACGACCTCTCCCTCAGAGTTTCTGTGGGCAGTTGAAGTGACGGATAGACCTCTGCTTAACATGGTGCCTGCTGTGGGGTGCAGATGGCAGGACCTGTGCTGGGCTAGCTCCCTGGCACATGACACAAGGCCTGGTATTATTCAGGACTGGGCAGGACACCAAGATGCTATTGTACACTGGGTGGGGCAAAGGCCAGACACCTCCTCAGGACTACCCCTTCACCTGATCTGCACCATGACCAGGTCAGGGCCACCTCTGGGACACAGCCAGGAGCTGAGGACCAGGGAGGAACAGGGTGAAACCCAAGCTAAAGAGCCATCTGGTGATGGGTGTGAAGGCCCACCTGTGCCCCTAGGGCCTCAGATTTGGCCTGTTTTTGCCCTATCTGTCACACCTCCTTCTCTCCCTAGCAGAAAGAGCTGCAGCACAGTCAGCAGGGGCCAGCTCCAGAGCCCCTGAGTGTGGTCCTGTCAGGAAGGCAGGCAGGTGCAGAGACGCAGCAGCAGCAGCAGCAGCAGCAGCAGCAGCAGCAGGAGCCATCCTTCACCAATGCTGGCCCACACATCACAGAACTGTGAGGGGCCCCCCACTCTTTCAGGCCCCCTCGAAGAGGCCCCGTCATTCCCTAACTGGAGATAATAATATATATCCTGTTCCTTTGCTTCCTTTTGCCTTTGGCCAATCACAGCAGACAGGGACTGGGGAAAGATTTTATTATCAATGTATACTGTGACAGTTTGTAGCCAAAAACTGTGGCTGCAAGGGCAGGGACAGGGGCAGTGAGTGTTCATAAGGGACTTGTGGGGTGCACAGCACAGGAGAGACAAGGGGCTGGAAAGGGTGGCCTTTAAGGATAACTGGGGTTATAGAATGAGCTCTCTGTCCTGTCCCCAATACTCAAGACCAGCTGTCACACAGGTTGCCAGGGTGAGGCCAGCTGTGATGTCCAGACTTTCTGTGACTCTCCCTCTCAGCTGAGCCCCCAGGGCACTTCCTGAAGCTGCCTTTGGCCTATTTGAGAATTATGAACCAGTGCCCCAGAGGGACGGGGATGGGCTGGGGAATTGGGCCAGGTAGGTGGGAAACAGGAGTTGGGGAAGGACCACCAACAGCATGCAAGAGATGCCCCAGCTATAGGGCCAGACACTGTGTGGAGATACACACACTCGCTCGCTCCCCCATGTTGTCCAGGGCCTCACATGCACAGCCTTGTACACTCGGGGGCTCACACGGATCCTTGCCAACTTGGAGCATTACCACTCAGACAGGCATGCAGTCTTTCCAGTTTGGGGATCTGGCATCATTGGAGACCTCAGCGCACCAGTCTGGACATCTCAAGAGCCTCACATCTCTTCAGCTCACAGGGAGTGGGGATGGGGGTGCTGAACAGGTCTTTGTGGTTACCCAGTGTGACCAGGAGAATAGAGCTGAGGGCTGTGAGGGGGCAATAGGGCATCGGGGTTGGCCAGGTCCGTGGGCTTCTGGCCACCAGAGCTTGGTAGAGGGGTTAGTTGTGTGTATGGGAGGGGAGGGGCCCGAAAAATGGGGATGAGAAGGCCCTAGCCTAGAGGCTGCTCACCCCTCAGAGGCCTGTGGCACGCAGAGGGAACCCCTTCTAGGGGCCTAGGATCAGGAAGGGAGCCTGAGAAGGTTAGAAACCCGGGCGTACAAAAGGCGGCAGGTTCACTCAGCTGTGGGTCCTGCCCTCGAGCAGCACCGCGGCCGGCGCACACTCTGCAACAGCGCGCGGAAGAGGCCAGGCGGACGCTTGGCAGCGCCCTCAGGAGGCGCGGTGCGCACCGAGCCTGCACGGCCCGGGGCCGCTCGGGCGGCTGACGGTGGTGCGGGCGCCCCTTGGCGGCCGTGCTCCTCGATCTGTCGCTCCAGATGCTTCTGGATGGCCATGCCCAGCACCTCCACCTCCATGGAGGCACCGTACACCTCCCACGTCATGCCCTTCTCGTCCCAGCTCACGTCACGTACGGGCTCGGCCGCTTCTGGGGGTGCCACAGCAGCTGCCAGCGCTGAACCCGGCCGCACCCGCACTTCGGGGAAGGCGGGCGGTGCGGCAGGCGGCGAGGCGGCCTGTGGCGTCATGGGCCCAGTGGCCACTGAGCGCGTCTCGGCGGCGCCCAGCGACACCTGAAGGCCCGCGTCCCGGCGCGAGGGCGGCCTAGGCGCCGGGCTGGGCGCACCAGGCGCCACCTGGAAACTGAAAGCCGGGCCACCCGCGCCGTCCTGCGGAGACATGGGGCTAACGGCCACTGAGACGCAGGCTTGAGCGCCCGCCTGAGTGCCCGCGTCCTCGCGCGGCGGCGGCAGGGCGCTCGCTTCCCACGACGGCGCCTTGGTGAAATTGTCGCGAGTCCGCGGCTCACGTAAAGGTGCCGCGGCCTCTGCGTGGGGGCTTCTCTCAGCCCCAGCGACTGCCAGGTCTTTCTGACTGAGGGTGGAGGCTTCCGTATGGGGCACCTGCCCTGGCTCTACACGGTCCTTGCTGCTCACCGCACCCTCAGGAGACAGGGCTGAGAGGCCGGGTTTGCCGCCTGACTGCGGGGAGGAGGGGATGGATGTGGCCAGACTCGGGGACTCTGCTTTCCTGGAAGATGCGGAGTTGGCCTTCTCCAGGGCCACAGGCTCTCCCTTCCCAGAGGCAATGCCTTCTGCTTTTTTTGAGGATCCAGGATCCAACTTCTCTGAGGTCTGAGGTGTCTCCTTTTGTGAAGACACAGCCTCTGCTTCTGATGCCACCTCACGCTCCTGCCCAGAGAGCTTTGTTTCTGCTTTGGCCCCACCCTTGGGCTCTGCTTTCCCCAAGGCCCTGGGATCTTTTGTGAAGTTCACAGGATTCTCTTTCTCTAGAGGCAGAGACTCCAAATTTCCCTCTGGGACAGCTTCTGCTTTTCCCAAGGACACCAGAATTGCTTTTCCGGGAGTTGTGGACACCATTTTACCTAAACACATGGAGGAGTCCACTCCTCCAGAGAGGACAGTGTCTGCCTTTTCCCTGCTCACAGAGTCTACCTTTCCTAAAGCTAGGGAATCAGCCTTCCCAGAGGCTGTGGGATCCATCTTTCCGGAGGCCACAGGACCTGCCTTCTCCGAGGACAATGGATCTCCTTCTCCCCCAGTCACTGCTTCAGCTTTCACTTCAGAGGGAAGACCTGCTGCCCCCAAGGACTTGGGATTTCCTGGACCCGTGGACATGGGCTCTGTTTTTTCTAAAGAGTCAGGATTCACTTTTTCAGAAGATAATGTTTTTGTATTTCCCACAAACATGGGGTCCTCTTTTCCTGAGGATACAGTTTCTGTCTTTCCCATAGACACATATTCTGCCCACCCAGGAGACAAGGGCTTTGGCTTTCCTGAGGACATAGGATCCATCTTTCCGGAGTGAACTGGATCCAGCTTGTCTAAAGACAGGGGATCCACATTTTTCCGAGATGTAGGATCTGTCTTTCCTGAAGACATGGGATCTGTATATCCAGCAGACATAGTTTTTGTCATTGTCTCAGACACCACATCCCCCTCTCCTGAGGAGGCTGGGTCTGTCATTCCTAGGAACTGAGGGTACTCTTTTGTGGAGGACACGGTTTCTACATTTCTAATAGATGCAGGTCCTGCCATCTCCAAGCATGTAAGTTCCACCCTTCCTGAGGACCTAGGAGCGGCTGTTCCAGAGGACACAGGCTCAGTATAGCCCAATGACCCTGAAGTTAGCTTTCCCAGGAGGCCAGAATCTGCCTTTGCTGTGGATACCGAATCTGTGCTTTCCAAGGACATAGGATCTACCTTCGCTGGAAGCTCAGGATCTCTCTTTCCCAAGGACACAAGATCTACTTTTCCTGCAGATGCAGGACTCATCTTTTCTGAGGACACAGGATGTTCTTTTCCAGAATGCCTGGGTTCCTCCTTTCTTGGGAACACAGAAGCCACTTTGCCTGAGGATACAGGATCCTCTATTCTTGGGGACACTGTGTCCACCCTGCTGGAGCACACAGGATCTATTTTTCCCAAAGATTCAAGATCTTCCTTTCTTGGAGTCATGGGATCAATCTTCCTAGGAGCCACAGGGTCCCCTTTTCCCAAGATTGCAGGCTCTGTCTTTCCTGTAAACATAGGCTTTGCTTCCCTTGAGGACCCTGTATCTTCCTTTCCAAGGGAAGTAGATTCTGCATGTGTTGAGGACTTAGAATCCATCTTTTCCAGGGACATAGAATTTCTGATTTCTGAGGACACAGGAGAAGTTTTTACTGAGGATGCAGGCCCTGGCTTCCCAGACAAGGTGGTTTCTAATGTCCCTAAGATCAAAGCTCCATGTGTCCCCAGTGTCTCCTTGGAGGCTGCCTCTTGGGGAGGGATACAGGTTGCAGAGGGGCAGGCCAAGCCCCCGCCAGGACCCTCAAAGCAGGAGGCCCCTTCACCAGTGCCACTGGGACTTCTATATCTAGAGTCCATGCCTGGGCTTTGGTCAGGGGTATGCCTGGGGGGTGCAGAGGTGGTCTTTTGCTGGGAAGGATGGCAGTCCTTCATGGCCAGGTCCCCATCCCCCAGGCTCCCATCCTGTGGGCAGCAGAGGGCTATGGGCTGGGGTCCTGAGGCACTGGAGTCCTGCTGAAGCAGTTGGAGCCAAGCTGGGTCTTCAGCACTGCACATCTGTCCTCATTACCATGCTTGAGCCCAAGGCTGCTATTTGGTTCTGAAACAGAGAGAGCAGACTCAAATTAGGGAGACTCCATCTGGGCCTCCTCCTCCTCCCATACCTCCTAGCAGCCAAGCCTACCTGCTGGGTGCTCTGCCCCTTTCTAGTCCCATCCTGCTCAGAGGGCCTGGGCTGAAAACAACAATCCAACCATGTCACTCCCCTGCTTCATTGCTCTCAGTGGCCCTTCTTAAAATTATAAAGACCTTTTAAAATGCCATTCAAAGTCCTTTACAACTTGGCCACAGCATAACTTTAGCTTTACTACCATCAGCCTCCCTTTGGAGCCCTATCCTATGCAGTGCACTGTCCAGAAGTTATGCTTTCGTCCTCTAAGCCAGGGCCTGCAAACTCTGATGCCACAGAGGCCAGGTGGGTCATTTAATCTATCAGGCAAGTGCTGCCCTAAAGAAATACTACCTGGCACTACCAGCTCTTCTAGGTTCTTAAGAGAATTAGGAAATCCAGGCTTTAGTGTAAAATATGCTAATTAATTCAAGACTTTATAAAAACCCAAAACACTACATGGGCCAAATAACATGTTTATAGACCACTAGTTTGTGTCTGTGTAGGCCCAGGAAGCTGTGAATGATTTATGGTCAAGGAAGGGACAGAGTGTCTTTAAGGATTCCTCTGGAATGGTGTGGAGGCTGGGCTGAAGGAGGAGAGAGATTGGCCAAGACCTATAAGGAGGCTGATAAATGAATTTAATCCTTCATTCATTCACCTAGCTGGTTCTTGCAACAGGCCCTGAGTAGTTGCAATAGTCTAGACAAGAGATGGCATAACAGGTCCTAGGGATGGAAGTTAAAGGCAGAATTGAGACATCCGAAGGAAAACTGACATGTGCCAACTGGCTGTAGTGGTCACAGGAGGGGTAGCCCACAGGGTGCTGTCTAGGGTAGAGGTTGCTGGGCAATGGTGCTAGGCAGGAGACCTAGGGAAGGGGGTGTTCTGTTTTGGACAAGCTCAGTTTGTGGTACCTGGGGACATCTAGAAAGAGGGTCTGGCAGGCAGCTGGATCCATAAGCAACCTAGTTCCATTATATGCTCAGCAGCCAAAGTAAGAGGAGCTCCTGACTCCCTTCAAATCTACTCCAGAATCATGTCCTTAGTGCTCAGGCCAAAATCCCTAGCATTATCTGTGACTCTGACACCCCAGATCCCATTCATCAGCAAAACATAATGGATCTACCTTCAAAATAGATCCAAACTCTGGCCACTACTCTGGGCTAAACCCCTGGCACTCCTCATCTACATTTTCTCTTTTCCTTTACTGCCTAGTTTATTCTCAACTCAGAGGCCAGAGGGATCTTAGTAAAAACCAAGGCAGATCACATGAGTGCCCTCTGCTCAGAACCATGTAATGTCTCCCCTTCTCGTGCAAAGTAGAAGTAAACTCAACAGCAGCTCACGAGACCCTGCATTGTCCAGCCCATCACCTTATGGCCTTTCTCTTACTCCTCTCCCTCTCCATTATACTGGCTGCCTTGCTCATCTGTGAACACTCCCTGCCTCAGGGCCTTTACACTGTCTGTTTTCCTCTCCCCAGAAAGCTTTCTCTCCAGATAGCTGTATGGTCAGCTCCTTGAATCTTTCCCTGACCCACCCTGTATAAGACAGCCTCCTCCCCAACCACTCAACTTATCTGGCCCAGTTTTTCTCCATAGTACCTGTCACCATCGAACATATCACATATATTTATTGTTTATATATTTATTGTTTATGATGTGTCACTCTCATTAGAATGCCAGCTCCAGGAGAGTGGGGACAAGAACAATGATTGGTATACATACAGTAAGCAGAGAAGATCCTGATAAATATTTGTTACATGAATGACTGATCTTTTTTTTTTTTGGAGAGTTTAGCCTGGGCTAGAGTGCCAAAGATCCGCCTAGCTCACAGCAATCTCAAACTCCTGGGCTCAAGCAGTCCTCCTGCCTCAGCTTCCCAAGTAGCTAAGACTATAGACGCCACCACCACATCTAGCTAATTTTTCTATTTTTAATAGAGAGGGGATCTTGCTCTTCTTCAAGCAGATCTCAAACTCCTGACTTCAAATGATCCTCCTTTCCCAATCTGTGAAATGGGAAAGGAGACATGTTATATTTAGAACATCTAGTCCAGCCCTGGGTTTAAGATCTCAACATCCCAGAGTTCTAGGATTACATGCGTGAGCCACTGTGACTGGCCTGAATGATGATTCTAAGATATAGACCCAACTGTGCTACACCTGGGCTCAAAATGCTCCTCATTCTTGTGGGGACTATAGACTTGTTGTAATCTTTTTTGAAGGCCATTTATCAATTTCTATCAGAGTTTACAATACAAATAGCATTTGAGCCAGAAAACCCACCTCAGGGATGGTCCTGGAGACAGACTGATGGTGTAGCAGGATACATAGGGCATAGCTGGGTGAGAAGAGAACTAGAAGGCAGGTTCTATGAAATGTGGGATGACCACATTGAACACCACACAACCACTAGGATGTGTGGAGCGATGAGGAAAACATCCAAGATAGATAAAGTGGAAAAAAGCCAGGAGACACCATGGCTACGAGGATGCCTTGCATGTAGCAAGGAAAAGCATACACACTCACACACACACACACATACACACGCATGGATTTGTTGATAAAGAGACAATTCTTGGAGGGAATCCCATGAAACCTTTAGCAGTGATTGCCTCTTAGAAGTAAGACGAGATGTGAAAGTGGGAGAGACTTTTCTTTGTAGGCCCCTTGTGATGTCTGAATTTTGGTTGTGTGTGTACATGGTACTTTTTTTTAAAAAAATGAAGACCAAAACACTTGAAAACTTTTATGACTCCCTATTACCTTTTAGGGTCAAGTCTAGCTTTTTTATGTGCTTCTAATCCTCTACGAACATACTTTCCTGCTGGAATTTATCTCTCATTACCCATTCCGAACCCCAAAGCACATATACACACACAAGCACAACCTCTTTAGGGTCATCCACGGCTTCATATTTTCTCTGTCACAGCCTCTATATACCCTCTGCTGGAGGAATCTTCCCCTCCCTACTTGCCTGCCTATCTCTTATTCCACCTTCAGGTCTCAGCATAAGCACCTCCTCCTCTAGTGAGCCTTTTCTGCCTACCAGGGTTCTATGGCCTCCTATTTTCTCCCTAACCAGACTTATGTCACTCTTCATGTCACTGTTCACACCTCTGGGTCCCTAATGAGGCCTCAGGTCCCTGGATGGGGATTCAGTTGACACTGCTCACCACTGGGACCCCCCCATGCTTTAAGATTATGGGACTTGGAGGGTGAAAGGCATCATTAAGATGGGAACACAGGAAGAGGAGCAGCTCTGCAGAGGATCACAGGCCACTGGTTAGGAAACTGAACTGGAGTGCCCATAGGATTTACACTGGGATATCCAGGGGCGGGTGGGAGACAGGTTGGGAGCACAGGAGAGATCTGGATGGAAGTCTTTGGATTTGGTTTTCATCAGTATAAATGGGAGGTGTTGGCTTGTCGCCAGACTGCAGGGGTTGAGTGGGCATCAGTTTTGCATGGTATAGATTGGGTCCAGCTTCGTTTTTTGCCTTTTGACAGTGATATGGGCACAAATAAACATTTTTTTATTCCATAAGGAAAATAGTAGAGCAAGGGAGGTAATTAAAGACTCCTGACACCTAAGCCAGACTTGGTGGCTCACATCTGAGTGGTTACTCAGGAGGCTAATGCAGGAGGATCACAGGAGTTCAGGATCAGCCTCGCCAACACAGTAAAACCTCATCTCTAAAAGAAAATAAGAAAAATTAGCCAGATGTGGTGGTGAGCACCTATATTCTCAGCTACTTCAGATTTGAAGTGGGAGGATCATTTGAAGCTACAGTGAGCTCTGATCATGTCACTGCACTCCAGCCTGGGTGACAGCGGCTCCTGGACATCCTAGAGTGAGGGAGACTATAGGAAGTGGTGGGGGGCTGTGGCAAACTGGAGGACTCTGGCCCCTTCTAAAGGGGCAACTGTACTCAATTCCTGCCAATTTTGGCCAGTTAGGAATTCATCCATTAACTCAACATTTACTGAACACACAGGCAATGTTCCAGGCACTGTTCTTGAGACAGGGGATAGAGCAGTGGATAAGGAGTGCAGGTCCCTGCCTTCTAGATGCAGAGAGATAATAAACAAAAAGCAAATAAACTATATAATTTCGGCTCGGCACCTGTGGCTCAAGCGGCTAAGGCGCCAGCCACATACACCTAAGGTGGCGGGTTCGAATCCCCAGCCTGGGCCCTCCAAACAACAATGGCTGCAACCAAAAAAAAAAAAAAAAACTATATAATTTCAAATAATAAATGCTGTGAAGATAAAGGAGTGGGCAGCTGGTTTAGACATTGGCCAAGAAAGGCCTCTCTGAGAGTGTCATCATCTAAGCTAGCTGTGAAAAGGCCTGAGTGGCTGGAAGGAGTTGCAAGGGTGGGGAGAGGAGGCAGGAAAGGGGAGGAGGATGCAGGGACAGTTTATCTTAAGGGTACTAGAAAACTCCTGGAAGTGTTTTAAGCAGGAAAGTGAACATGGCCCCTGCATAGCCTGGTCTCCTAATTTTTGAGAAAAAGTCATGAATCTAGATATTTGTATTTTAAATATTGGCTTAAATATTTAAATACTATTAAAATATCACAGAGGCCAAACAAAAAGCTTTTGTGAGCCAACTTTGACCCCTAGGTTACCTGCTTGCAACCTCTTCAGTCCTTGGTCTATAGAAAAGTATGTTAGAAGCCAGAGTAACTGTGGAGACAGGACAGAGAAAGGGTCTAGGTTCCAGTAAGGGCCAAGATCTGCCCTTCACGCCCGCCTCAGTTTCCTCCTCTGGAAAGTAGGACTTAACATCTGCCTAGCAGCTATACAAGGAATTTAGGCTGGAGCTAGAAAGAGTTAGCAAAGGTTACAAGAAGGGTTGTCTGGGTCCTTGTCACTCCT